TAATTATTTCTGTGAACAGCCTTTGTAGTTCCTTTGTTTGTACCCGCTTCTTCATTCACATTCTTTATTCTCAAGTTCTAGACCTTCTTGTCGTCTTCTAGCCTTTGTATTGTTACTGCTTGTTTCCCTGTTATTTTTAAAAAGTTTTCCCTTTCATAGTCCCACATTGCAAAACTATCCTCCAGTTTGGATAATCTATCCTTAGTTTCTTTCAAGCAGATTTGCCATCTTTCCATAGAGTTTGGGGTTTTTTTTGCTTTTTTTTTTTTTTTTTTTTTTTTTGGTACCAGGGATCGAACTCTCAAGACTGCGCACTTGCAAGGCAGGTGCTCATGCCTCTGAGCTAAATCCCCAGGCCTTTTTTCCATAGTTTTTAATTTCCTGGTACTCTCTTTGAATCTGCTTCATGTTTTCTATATTTTGTTTATATTCTTCATCAAATGGTTCTCTCCTTTGTTTGAGTACCTCCTTTCTTCCATCTGTGTCTGCTTGAGGGATGCTTAGCATTTCTTTTATTAATCTTATGTCTTATGTCTTGCTTTACTTGGCTAAATATTTCACTTTTGAACTCGTCTATGAGGTCCCAAAGATATCTGTTCATGTCCACTGGTGCCATGTCTGATATTGCATGTTTGCTGTTCTCATTCTCTTTTGTATTTACTTGTCCTGGGTCAATGTTCTCAGGGTTAGGACCTGGAGACTTTTTGTTGTTGCTTCCTCTTCCCATGTTTTTTGTTTCTTCCAGGAGGCCCCAGTTTCTTTCTTTGTTGGTTACAATTCTTCTGAAACATGCTGGTTAGGTGACCCTTCCCACTGCAGTGTGCTAGTGAGTTGTAGACAGGGGCAGCATATGCTGGTCCCTGCCCTCCAGATCAGTCAAGCTGCTGTGGCCTGCACTTTATTGCTGAGCACTACCTTCCCTCTGGGTTAGTCGAACTTCTGAGGCTTCACTGGGGTAGTGTGCACAGCCGCTGTAGTGAATTGATTTCACATAACCTATTGGCTCTCAGCCAGGTCACGTGACTGAGGCCTAGCTCACTCCACCAATCCCAGGCAGGAAGGGAACAACTGACTAAAGTCACTGCTGCCCCTTATACTTGCCAGTCCTGCCCATCCCAAAGTGTCATTGGCTGGAGCCCCACTTTGTGTGAAATGGCTCCACTCCTGTCACTCACTACAGGTCGATGCAGGCTCCCGGCCAGCTCAGCTCTCAGTTTGGCTGGCCAACCCCCGACCTCAGTGTGACTGTGCCTCCAGTGAGTCGAAGCGGCGGGACGTTGGACAGCTCGGCAAGTTGCCCACTGCAGTGGGACCAGTTAACCTTTAGCTGTTCTGATAGTAGCACCAGGACTGTATGTTTGATTGGTCTTCTCACCTTCATTTCTTCCTGGGATGAGAGAATTCATCTCCCTCTGTTCGGGGCTCCCCACGCTGTATTATGTTGAATTCTAAGTTCACTATCTCAGGGAGCCTCTGTAGCCAGCTATTATCTATCCGCCATCTTTTTCCGGTTCCTACAAATAATTTTTTAACTTTGCTGTTTTTTAGGATTTTGAGTGTGAACTCATTCATTCTGTAGATAATTCTGTTTTAGTAATATTATTGTTAACCTGCAACAACAGGACACCACCACCCCAAAATAGAAGGCATTAAATTGGGATTTACACCTTTGAACTGGAGAAAACCTTTCATACTAGAGAAAACACTACAGAAGGAGAAATCATACATTTTTGGGCTATGTGAAAAAGTAAGACTTCCAGGCAAAACACACCATTACTGTAGTTAGACTACAGTAAACTTGATTTTTTTAAATGTGCTACATACATGATACAGAGTTGGCATACATGATGTGAACTGGATAATGATGTTAGAGTTGACATATAAAAGAAAGGCAATAGAGCCCTGAATGGTCACTCTGTTAATAGGATACGCATAAGACAAACCTCTGGAAAATCCCATTTCACTAAGTAAAGAACTGTGAAGTAAGGGAGTAATGAGACAGTTGTGCTAAGATTTAAAAAGCCCACCATTAGCAAGAGTAAGACCAAAGATACTCTGTTCTAATTTCTGTAAGTTGGGCTAATCTTTCTGAGGGGCACATTGGATTGATGTTAAGGGTCTGTGCCAGCCAGACCCACAGGATTTCCCACCTGAGACAGTAGGGTGAATGTTGCCCATAGTACCTCTCTGAGCGCTTCTGTGAGAAAGACATGGATTTTGTAACATAAGCCACTCACTGTAGGTCATGGCACATGTGAACAGTCACTTCTAGCTGTTAAATAACAAGGGAAATTGAGTTCTAACATACATCATTGGTCAGTTTCAGAACCCCAAAAGGTTCTAATATACATCATTGCTCAGTTTCAGAACCCCACAGAGAAAAATCTACGGCTCAGCTGCTGCCAGAGTCGGCCTGGCATTGGACTTTTCATTATTGTTTGCTAAAACACAGCACACAGTATTTTCACAGTTCTGACATGCACAGCTAGCTTTCAGCCTAGAATTCTCTGAGTAGCTAAATCATCAGCTTTACATGTGCATAATATACAGTTATTTTCAGAATGAAAAGACATAGAAAGTTTACCTTCCTTTCATTTGCCAAGAAAAAATTGCTCAAAGTCAGCAGAAGCCAAGAAAATACAACTTCAATTCAGGAGTGGGATTAAAAGAAACCCTGGACTGAGAAGTATATAGGAAGCCGCAGAAGCCCTGGTGCTAACAGAAAAGGAATACAAAGAACACAGGGGAAAAAATCTTCAAAAGATAGGTAGTTATAAGAAGAAGTTAGAAGATTATAGATGTGTGACAATGATTTACTTATTTTTCTCAGTAAGAAAAAAGGTTATTATAATCCAGGGAGAAGTTTGCAAAAGAAAGTTATTGTCCACTTTGGTAATGAAACAAAATATGTCCCTGTTTAAACAACAGATAGGATAAAAGTTAATTCATTTGACACTGAAGCTCAGATGTTTTACTTTGATGAGCACAGGTTTGGTGATACAAGATTACAGGTACTTTTTTCAGTATTGGTACTTGGTTAAAAGTGCGTATACAGATTAACACATAGCTATAATCTTCAAACTTCATCATGCATATACATAATTGTGTTGTTTCACATTTTAGAATAAACCTTAGCATGAGAAAGTAAATGATAGACTAACTGATAGTTAAATGTTCAAAATCTTGATATAATAGAAATGGTGTGCTTAGGGCTAGGGATTTAGCTCAGCGGTATAAGTGCCTGCCTGACAAGAGATCGTGAGTTTGATCCTTGGTACCAAAGAAAGGAATTAAAAAAAAAGAAGAAGAAGAAATGGCATGCTTAACAGAACTTGAAAATAACACGAAAGGAGAGTAGACATGTAAACTAATAGACTTATTTTACATAGAGGGAATCAGCATGTTTTTCAAAGTTCATAAGAGATGACTAAAGAATATAATTTTAAATTATATAGTCATATTTGATGTATTAAATGGGAGAAGGCTTGGCGTAGAAAGAAGGTAAATGAACAAGTTTCTTTTATGTCATGAATTCAGTTTTAGGGTTTAGATGATAGCATAAGAATCAGAGATCTAGCTATATACTTGTGATCCCAGCACTTAGGAGGCTGAAGTAGGAATGTCACCAGGAATTCGAGACCTATTTCAAAAACAAGCAACAAAAGAAAGAGCTAAGTATTCTGATTGCTGTCCAGAATAACTAAAGCGAATACTGTTTATGTCTAGGGAGTAAAATTTATCCAGGACTAAGATGGAGACTTGACTTTTCATTCTTTGTATCATTTATTTAAAATTTTATATATGTTTAAATATCCTTAGTCAATGTCTTTTTTAAAGTAAGTATTGCAAATCATTACAGCCAGGATTTTTCTTTGACTTTTGGTATGTCCTGATAATGTCTTGAGTCCACCGAAATACTAATGTGCTGATAGAAGTAACTGTTTCTATCCCTTTGGGGTACATCAGCTCTGAGCACAATTTTAACAACTGTAGAGTGTGATAGGAAAGGCGTGCAGGCTGGTGGGGACATCTAGAATGCTGCGTGTTACAACAGTTAAGGGACCTGCAGATGCATTGCTCAGCAGGATAGAAATCCGTAATAGGGGACCAGGATTGTCCGCTGTGGAGCTATGAAGGAAAGTGTATATTGATCTGTGTGGGCAGAAACAGGACCAATGGATAGCAACTAAATCGCAGAATTGTAAACAACTTTCCAGCTATTAGAGCTGGGTAACCATGTCACTTAGTGTTCAGACAAAGGTCTTGTAGAGAGGACTTGTATGTTTGATTAGGATTCTTGTGAAGGTCTTCTGAACTTCCTTGCAACTTTCAGGAGGAAAGGGAACTAGTTAGAAAGATTTTTTTTCAATACTATAGATTGAATCCAGGGCTTCACGCTGAGCTACATGCCTAGACCTTTTTATTTTGAGACAGAGTCTTGCTGAGTTGCCCAGACAGGGTCCCAGAATGATAGGATTATATATGTTTGCCACCACAGCCACATTGCTACTACAAAAAAATTTTGTAAGATGTTCCACAGTCATATTTCTGCTCTTTCTGACTCAGAGTTACAGTTAACAAAGATGTTTTTGCTTGCTGCTTTGTTTTTTTTTTTTTTTTTTTTTGAGACAGGGTCATTGGTGTGGTGTAGGCTGGCCTTGAACTCACAGGCTGGCCCAGCTTGGGCTTGAAGTCATGGCCATCCTTCATGCCTGAACCTAGAGTCACAGCAGGTGCCGTCATACCCAGCTTAACCAGCATTTTTGAATAGCCATGTTTTCAGTGGGCTTTAGGATACAGAAATAAATAAGAATAGATTCAAGAAACTTAGTCTGGTATTGTGTATTTCAGTTTTAAGTAAGGAATAATAGCTACTTTGTAGAGTTTTTGTAAGAAAAAAGTGATTTAATATTTGTGTGTAGCATTTAGTAAGTAAGTGCTAAAGAGAAGTGATCATTTTTTTGACACATCAAATGTTTGCATAATTTTCCTCATTGGAGTTCCAGTACACTGGCTTGGGCCTGGGGAGAGCTTAAGATCATCGTTCCCAGCAGTTAAGTGCCCGCAAGCTTCCAACCACACTAGACTAGGCTCGGCAGGTTTCATGGGCCTAACTGGAGCATCTCAAGTGACCTTCTGTCAACCTGGGAGCTGAGGCTGCATGAGGTGAGTTCCAGCACACTGGCAGGGGTTCTGGGGAGAGTTTAAGATCATCGTTCCCAGTGGTTAAGTGCCCTCCCAGTGTCTAGCCACACTAGACTAGGCGCACCAGGTTTCGTGGACCTAACTGGACCATCCCCAGTGACCTTCTTTCAATCCAGGGATCTGAGGCCATGTAAGATGAGTTCTAGCACAATGGTGTGGACCTGGAGAGAGTCTAAGATCATCACTCCCAGCAGTTAAGTGCCTGCCCAGCTTCCAGACACACTGGACTAGGCTTGTGAGGTTTTGAAGGCTAACTAGACCATACCCAGCAACCTTCATTCAATCAGGGAAGCTGGGGGCACATGAGATGAGTTCCAGCACATCAGTGCTAGTCCGGGGAGAGCTTTAGACCATCACCCACAGTGGTTAGGAGCCCGCCCAGCTTCCTGGAACACTGGAGGTGGAACGAGAGATCCTGTGGGCCTGACTGGGCCATATTCAGCAACGTCTACTCAGTCCCAGGAGCCAAGGGCATAGGAGATGATTTCCAACATGCCCAGGGGAAGCTTTGGAACATCACTTGAAACACAGAAATACAGGAAAATGACAAGACGAAAGATCAAAATGCAATCTCAAACCTCCAGCCCATCCCAAGAAAACCTAGGAGCCATATACATAGAAGAAAATATAAGCCATACACCTGCATTACATGAAATAATAGCAACTGAAATAACAAAGTAACTCTGGGAAGCTTTAAAGGAATTCAAATTAAAAGAAATCTAGGTAAAAGAAGAAATGATAAAAGTAATGAAAGAAATGTTGAACACATCTAAAGGCACAGTTTAAAAATTAGAGAAAAATGCAAAAGCACAGAATATATGAAGCAGATTCAAAGAGATATACAGGAAATGAAAAATTCCATTGAAAGTTGTCAAAACTGCCTCACCGAAAGTGAAGATAGAATTTCAGATCTTGAAGACAAGATTGCAGCTAGTGAACAGGAAAGGAAATATCTTTTAAAAATAACAAGGAATCAGGAAATAACAATTCAACAGCTGCAAGATGATACAAAGAAAAACAACATAAAGTTGATAGGGATCAATGAAAAAGAAGGGGACAACACAAATGATACCAAGAGGCTATTTACAGAAGTAATAGCGGATGCCGGGCGTGGTGTCTCACCCCTGTAATCCCAGCACTCGGGAGGCTGAGGCAAGAGGATCATTTCGAGTTCAGGACTAGCCTGGGCTACAAAGTGAGCTCAAGGCCAGCCTGAACTGCATAGAGAGACCTGTCTCAAAGACAAAAAAAAAAAAAAAAAAAAAAAAAAAAAAAGTAATAGCTGAAAATTTCCCAACATGAAAATAGAAACTGACATCAGAATCAGTGAAACACATAGAACTCCAAATAGCCATAACCAAAATAAAACTACACCCAGACATATAATAATCATCATCCCAGAAATCCAACATAAGAATAGAATATTAAAAGCTGTTAGAAAAGACAGATCACCTATAAAGGAAAACCTATCAGAATCACAGCAGACTCTCAGCACAAACAATGAAGTCAAGAAGAGCATGGAGCAAAGTATTTCAGATCCTAAAGGAAAATGACTTCTAGCCTAGTACCGTGCAAAACTGTCCTTCAGAATGGATGGATAAATAAGGTACTTCGATGACAAAGAACAGCTGAAGAACTTCATGATCACCAAACCAACCCTGCAAAGAATACTGAAAGACATTCTAGATACACATAAGAAAAAACCACGAAGCAAGGCAGACAGTTAAACAGAATGGAAAGGTAAAGCTGCAATAGCAGAAAATAATGTCAACAATAAACCAGTATATAACAGTTATAACTGTTAATGTAAATGGTCTCAGTTTACCAATTAAACAGACTGACAGAATAGATCAAGAAATAACATCCAACCATATGCTGTCTATAAGAAATCCATTTAACCCAAAAGGAAACTCATAGACTGAAAGTCAAGGGATGGAAAACAATACTTCATGCAATAGGAACCCCCCCCCAAAAAGGTGGGGGTAGCTATTCTGTTTGCAGACAATGTGAACTACAAGAATGATCCAAAGAGATAAAGAAGGTCACTACATACTGGTTAGGGGAAAACTTCAAGAGAAAGAGATAACAATCTTAAATATATATGCACCAAATTCCATACCACCCAGGTGTACAAAGCAAGTATTAACAGAAATGAAAAATCAAATAGGCAATAACACAATTATAACAGGAGACTGTAACATACCATTGACACAAAGGGACAGATCAACCAGGCAGAAAATCAGCAAAGAAATAACAGAACTGACTCACACCTGTGAACAAATGGACTTGATAGACATATACAGAGTGTTCCATCCAACAATATCAGAATATATATTTTTCTCAGCAGTACGTGGGACATTCTCTAAAATAGACCATATACTAGCCCATAGAACATATTTAAGTAAATGCAAAAGAATTGAAATTATCCCATGCATGTTATCAGATCATAGCGCCATGAAACTAGAAATTAATGATAAAAGAAACTGGAAAACACAAGCCCACAAACATATGGAAATTTAATACACGTGAGCAATCAGGGGTCACAGAGGAAATTAAGAAATTGATACCTACAAGCACATGAAAATACAAATACAACTTACTAGAATCTGTGGGATGCAATGAAAGTAGTTCTCAGAGAAAAATTTATTGCACTGAGTTCCCACATGAGGAAAACGAACGACCGCAAATAACCTGATGCTATACCTCAAACATCTAGAAAAAGAAGAGCAAGGCAAGCCCAGAGCCAAAAGAAGGGAGGAAATTATAAAAATCAGAGCTGAAATTAATGCAATGGAGACTAAGAAAACAACCCAAAGAATCCACTGATGCTTTGAAAGAGTTGGTTCTTTGAAAGAATAAATAAAATTGATAAGCCCCTAGCCAACCTCATTTTAAAAAGGAAAGAAAAAGCTCAAATTCATGCAATAAGGAATAAAAAAGGTACAATCACTACAGACTGGAAATACAGAAGATCATCAACACCTATTTCAAAAAACTCTACTCTCATAGGTTCAATAACACACAGGAGACGAACAGAGTCCTAGAAACATATGAACTACCAAAGCTGGGTCAAGAAGACGTAAAATTGCTGAATAACCCAGTTTGTATTCATGAAATTGAAAATGTAATTAAGTTCTTACCTACAAAGAAGAGCCCAGGCCCAGACGGATTCACTGCAGAATTCTACAGGAAATACAAAGAAGACTTAATGCCGACACTCTTTAAACTCTTCAATGAAATCAAAAGGGAGGCAATTCTTCCTGAGTCATTCCTGGAGGCAAATACTACTCTAGTACCAAAACCTGAGAAGGACTCAACTGAAAAAGAGAACTACAGGCCAATCTCCCTAATGTAAAAATTCTCAATAAAACATTGGCAAACAAATCATCAAATATTGGCAGCAAATCATCCAGAAGATTATACACTATGAACAAGTGGGATTCATCCTAGGCATGCAGGGATGGTTCAACATATGAAAATCAATAAATGTAATCCAACATATCAATAGAGCCAAAAGTAAAAATCATGTGATCATTTCTATAGATGAGGTCCAACTCTCATTGATGATACCTTACAGAAAATTGGAATAGATGGTCTTTTACCTCAGTATGATAAAGGCCATCTCATGGCCAAAAACTGAAAGCCTTTACCTTAAAATCAGGCACAAAACAAGGATGTCCTTTATCACTGCTCCTATTTTAACATAGTAGTAGAAGTATTAGCCAGAGCAGTTAGACAAGAGAGAGAAATAAAAGGAGTAAAGATAGGAAAGAAAGGAAGTTAAATTATCATTATTTGCATTCGACATGATACTCTATATAGAAGACCCCCCCCAAAACTCCATTGAAAGACTCCTACTAGATATAATAACTTTAGCAATGTAGCTGGATACATAGTTAGTACTCAAAATCAACAGTATTCTTACACTAACAACATAATCACAGAGAAGTAAAAGAAGCCACACCCTTCACACTAGCATCCAAAAAAATGAAATACTTAGGAATTAATCTCACAGAAGAAGTAAAAGATCTATACAGGGAAAATTATAATACCCTGAAGAAGACACTGAAGAGGATCTCAAAGTGGAAGGACATCGCTTGTTCATGGATAAGAAAAATAAATATTGTGAAAATGGCCATTCTCCCAAAACTGTTATACAGATTCAATGCAATCCCAATGAAAATGCCATTAGCATACTTCATAGATCTAGAGAAATCACTCCTAAAATTCGTCTGGAACCAGAAGAGACCTAGAATAGCAAAGGCAATGCTAAGCAGCAAAGGCAAGGCAGGAAGCATCACAATCCCTGACTTGAGGTTGTACTACAAAGCTACTGTAATAAAGTCAACATGATACTGGAATAAAAATAGATCTGAAGGTCAATGGAATAGATTAGAAGATACAACTACAAACACAGTCAACCACCTTATCTTTGATAAAGAGGCCAAATATGTTCACCGTAAGAATGACAGTCTCTTTAATAAATGATGCTGAAAAAATTGGCTCTCCGTATGCTGAAAACTAAAAGTAGATCCATGCATATCACCATGTACTAAACTAAAATCTAAATGGATCAAAGATTGAATATTAAAACAGAAATACTAAATCTGTTGGAAGACAAATTAGGTAAAAATCTTGAAGACATAGGGGTAGGTAGAGAATTCATGAACAGGAATCAAACCACACAGGAAATACTTTCCAGAATCAATAACTGGGATCATATCTTATTAAAAAGTTTCTGTATGTCGAAAAAAATCCCCAGCATAGTGAAAAACCTAAAAACTGGGGAAAAAATCTTAGTGAACTGTCCCTCAGACAAAGGACTTCTGTCTAAAATGTATAAAGAATTTTTAAAAATCAGCCCCCCGAAATTCAAAGACCCAATCCAGAAATGGGCATCTGAGATGAATACACAGTTCTCAGATGAAGAAATAGAAATGGCAAATAAATACATGAAAAAATGTTCATCATCATTTGTCATTAGGGAAATGCAAATTAAAACCACACTGAGATTCCATCTCACTCCAGAAAGAATGGCCAGGATCAAGAAAACCAACAACAACAAATGCTGGAGAGGCTATGAGGAAAAAGGAACTCTCCTGCACTGTTGGTGGGAGTGTAGACTTGTGCAACCACTGTGGAGGTCATTCTAGAGATTCCTCAAAAAGCTGGGATTGGAAGTCCCATTCAACCCAGCTATTCCACTTTTAGGCATATTCCCAGAACTGAAAACATACCACAGTGATATGTGTGCACAAATGTTTATAGCAGCACAAGTTGTAATAGCCAGATCTTGGAAACAACCTAAGTGTCCATTAACTGAGGAATGGATAAAAAAGATGTGGTATTTTTATACAATGGAGTACTACTCAGCTATAAAGAATAATCGCATTGAGATATTTATAAATAAATAGACACAACTTGAGACCATACTCACAAGTGAAATAAATCAAACTCACATATATAAATACTGTATAGTCTCTCTAGTGGAAGAAATGGTAAGAGTACATAAGATTTTATGGTAATTATGATTGCCCATTACATTGCTTTGAAGCCTTATAATGTTTTCATTCATTAGTTGGAATGGTTTTATTTTGATTTATTTGGTTTTATTATGTGTGATGGTATGAACAGCTCTTTTAAAGAAAACAAGACATTATGGCAGCCATTGCTTATTTAATATCATCTTGGTTTAAAGTCCTACCATGCTTTTGTTCTTCTGTTTCCATTGGTTCTATCATGTTTTGTCTTATTGGATTTTAATATATGTGATAGTATAACAAATTTTTCATGGAAAATGAGATAATGTAGTAGCCATTGTTCATTTTCTGTTATTTGTTTCTGAATGCCCCTTAATACTTTCATTTTCTTGAATGGTTTTACACTATTTTGTCATGTTTGATACTGTTGTATGTGAAGGTATGCCCAACTATTTCAAAGAAAGAGACATTATGGTAGCTACTGTTAGTATCTGGTTGTCTTGTGGTGAAGTACTGTGTTGCTTACATTGTTCCGTTCTGATCTGCTTTGTTCTGTCCTCTTTTGTTGTAATCTCTTTAAAATAAAGTAAAAAAAAATTTTTTTCCTCACTGGAGACCGTGGCACTTGAGCAACACAGCAGCCACTTAGCTGTCTGATTTAGCCAGAGCTAGATGAAGCCGTGAGCTGCAGACCGGCAGTTACAGATTAATGTCCTGTAAATACAGTGAACCATTGCTTGAAACTGTTCTCTTGATGGAATAAAGGATCTGTTCATTTGCCTCCTGTTCCTTCCTGTTCACAATAAATATTTCTCTTTGAGCCTGGAGCAAATGCTCTTTCCTCCTTGAAGTCATATCCGCCTTCACATTGAACAGCCCTCCTGCTTGTCTGAACCCTCTTAGGACCCTTTGCACAGTTAGCAGTGTTTGTGTCTGCATCTTGTCTTCCAGGAGTCTGTAAATGCACAAAGGAGAGTACCTCTCCTTTTTCTCCATAATGTCCTTACTTCCTAGGTCCTGTGAGCCATATACACTGAATCTTAGGTTTTCTCCCAGCAGAATTAAAAATCTTTAAAAAGCTGAACATGGTAGTACAAGCCCATAACCAAGCACTCTGGGAGACTGATGCAGGAGGATCATGAGTTCAGGTCTCATCTGAGCAATTTAGTGAGACCTTATCTCCAAAAACACATAAATACAACTCAGTGTACCTCAGGGCAGAAGACCTTGGTTCAATCTCCAGTACTGCAGAATGCGTAAATCAAAGTTTTAGAATGAACTAGGAAATATTTTAATAATATATTTAATCTAGTATATCAACATTATTTCAGTATGTGATCAATTTAACAATTACTGGTGAGAAGTTTTATTTTTTATGCTGTCTTCAAAATCCTGCCTTTTACATTAACAGCAGGTCTCAATCTGGTCTAGCCACATTTTAATGAAGGATGCTGTACTGGACAGCAGAGGCCCAGCACATTGTGATAATTAGTAGATAAGTATCCCAAGATACACTTTCAAAAATAGTGTTTTTTTCCTTCTCCCCCAACAGATTACCATGGCTGCGGGAGTCGTGCCACCCAGTGAACCACCATACTCTGTGCTGGTGAATAACAGTGGGTATGCGGCATACGTGAAGGGTAATGTCTCTTTAATACATTTTTATCCCTTTGTGTAAGTGTGTGAATGAGTGTGGAAGCAGAGTCTCAGTTCTTCATTTAGAAATGCTAAGATCCGGGTGTTCCTAAGGCCTTTCGTTGATTTCTACCTTACCGCTTTGGACTATTAAGATTCCTTTGAAAACTCTGAATAATGATCGTGGCCTTTCTAGAAGGGAAGTTTCAAACATGTTTATCTCCTGCATTATTATCTCAGACTGAGATTATGCCTTTGCGCCTATCACCCAACGCCTCCTTATGAATCAACTATTCATTTTTTCCTCCTCCAGTTTCTTGCAAGTGCCACTTAGGAAGCACATTCAGAGCCCTGGAGCCCTGCTTCTCCCAGGGTTATTTTCGCTCTTACGTCTCCTTCCCACACACTTGATTTTTCTACTGCACCTCATGCAGAGAAGTATGCTGTGACTTGGACTCCCGCTGCCTCCCTTGCCCTTCACTGCATTGTGTGTCTGAGCTGGGAGCTGTCCTGATTCCTTGATGGCTATCACTCAGGTTTCTGTTACGATGCGAAGGTAGCTGAGACAAGTCACCCTAAAGAAGGAAAAGGTTATTTTGGCTTTTGGTTTCAGAAGTTTCAGTCCATGGTCATTTGGTCTTTTGCCTCAGCTGGGGCAGTACCTTATGGCAGAGGAAAGTGCTCACTTCAGGAGGTCCAAGGCTCGCCTCCCAGTAGGCCTCCCCTGCTAATGGTTCCACCACTTCCTGGGAGCACCCAGGTTGACACCCAAGCCTATGGTACATGACGCTTCATGGGACAGTTCAGATCACACCTGGCATCAACCTTGGTGCTGCCACCCAGGTTAAGCAGGAGAAACGTGAGTGATTTCACTTTGGTGATACTGTGCTGGCGTTATTTTTTAATTCTCTATGCTGGGTTTGGCTGAGTTCCTTTAGTACTCCTATATAGGAACTTTGCAGTATTTCTTTCCAAGATGTGGTTATATAAGGAAGACACAAGAAGGAAGAGTAACTAAAAGGATTACAGTTCAGGGATTTCTGGGAACAGTTTGCTCTCAGAGTTACTTTTGTGTTTGCTGGAATCTGGCAGCTCCATCAAGAGGAGCACTCGTTCATCCTGTGTTGAACTTTGCCTAAATTCCAGATCTGTGTAGATCCTCTTCCCTCTGCCCGCTGTGTCTGACTCTAGAGAAACTAATACTCCTGCTAACTGCCATTTGTAGACAGCTTATAGAGGCCATATTTACTGTTGGTTTTCCTGGCCTTAGAGAGACGTGCTCTTAAAACAAATGCAGTAGTGGTGTGTATAGGAGGGCCCTGAGCACGCACACATGCGCACACATACACATACACACACACACACCCTCCTGTCTAGTGGTGTCTCCAGGTGCCAAAGACAGCCAGAAAAACCCTACACATTTCCAAATGCTATCTCTTTTGTGATCCACTAGGTAAGCTGATGTTTACCTTTCCCCAAAATATCTTTTTTCAGTAAAAATTTCTCTTATTATGTAAATGCAGCTTAATTTTAGTGAGGAAAACACTGAAAAAGATAAAATGCATTTCATATTCTACTTTCTTAGTGTATCTCATCTATAAAGTAGGTATACGTCATTAAATTTTAAGAGTTGAAAGTATTTTTTTTAATGTTGTCTAGTAAATTCATAGGTCAACTTATCAGTAGGGTACTTACATATTTTTACAGGAAAATAGAAAATCATCAGGAACTAGATTTGAAATGAGAAACAGACCTAGATTTAAATCTTGGTTTTACTACTTGAAAGTAAAGCAAAAAAAAAAAAAAAAAACATTTTTGTTATAAAGAGTTTCAAATAGTTACAAAGTATACAGAGTAAAATAAAGGCCCACATCCTCATTCGTCACCTGCCCTACGTGTGCCGTCCCACAGATGTGTGTCTCTCAGTCACGCAGCCCCTTGTTTCCCCCACATCAGATTGCTTTGGAGGTAACTAAAGACACTGTTGTTTTATTCGTTTAGTAACTATCTTGTCTTTACCATAAGCAAAATAATTAATAATTGCTTAATGTCATCAAATATCTACTATTTATATCTGTTATATTTATACGTAACATTTATACTGGGATCCAAAAAAATCTCAATATATTGTCATTGGTAGCTATACAGCTGAAGTTTCTTAAACTTGTGTTTCTGGTCTCTCTATTTGCTTAATTTATTAGTTGAAGAAATCTGGATTTTGGCCTTGTACATCTTGCCAGTATCTGTATTTTGCTGATTCTGTCTGCATGGTATTTTCAATATATTAATAGATGGAGATAGAGTAAAATCAGATTTCTTTTCATTGTGAAGAGTATTTCATAGGATGCAAAGTTTTCCTCCATCAGGATCCCTATCCTGCCTAATTTTGCAACGATAGTATTTTGTTTTGAAATAACTTCAAACTTACAGAAAAATTATAAGAAAAGCACACATAGAAATCTCCTATCTTCTGTTCAACCAAAAACTTCCATTAAGATTTTGCCAACTGTCCCAGTAACAATTTGTAATGTTTTTCTGACATTTTCCAAGTTTTCAGGCTGTTCTGCAGGGTTACACCTTTCTGGTAGAAACATCAGAGTTGACTCTGCTTTTCCCACTGCACCCCTCCACATGGCACAAGATGTCATTTTCCGCATCACTAAAGATACAGTTTGATCACATTAGTTAATCAGTGGCTCCTGAGATGTGTCCATCGTAAGTTATTCTTTTTCTCTTCATAGTTCATATATTATGAAAAGATGAGTTGGAACCACATACTCTCTTCCATGTTGAACTCTGACCCAGTGCTTTTAGCATGTATTTTATTTCTTGCCTGAGTTAATAATGACAGTGATAATTCAATGGAAACGTTCTAATTCCATCATTTCTTCTGCATTTATTGGGTAGCATTCTGCTAAAAAGAGGAATTTTCTCATTAATTTGTTCAGTTACTTATTTCGGTGTAGAATCCTTTTTTGTTCAGTAGAAATAATCTCATTTATTTTGTGGCTTCCCCTATTCCATGTGTAGCCAGTAGGAGCTGCCCCTTCTGATGTTGTCTGTGTCCTTTGTCCCATTCCTACCCTTTCTGCATTCCTCACTCTGGCACAGTGGGATCTCCCAGTTCATCTTGCTTTTTCCCTGCGCACCCTGAAATCAGCTGTGTCCGCAAGGTGCTTTGGTGAGTGGTGCTTAGAACCCAGATCTGGGAGTGCTCACTTCTTAGTCCTGGCATGTAAAGGTTCCCAACCCTCTCAGGGGACAAAAGGCGGAAATACAGGTTTATACACACAGTTTGGGTTTATACTGCAGATTGCCTGAATCTGCAACATACAGTGTATATGCATGTCGTTACATCTAGTTCAAATCCAGCATTCTACCATTATTCCATCCTTTTGCCTGTTTATAATTTCCTGCTCCAAGAATGATAGACTTGCCTTTTATTATTTCCAGTGTCTTTACTTCCTTAGTCCTTCCTAACCCTAACCCTAAAAACCAACCTCGTGCTCCACCCACCTCCCTACTATCCCATAGTTACCACCAATCGACTTTCTGAATCCACAGATTTCCTTCTTCTGAATAGCTGTATAAACAAAATCATGCAATATAAGGTATCTTATAATTGGATTATTTCCCATGGCATAATGTTTCTCAAGATGTTACATATTGTTACATTGTTAGTACTTGTATATTAATTTTCAGTTGTTTGGTATACCGCACTTACTAATGCATGTGTTAATTGATGATGAAATGGGATTGTTCTCCCTTTTTGGCTAGTATGTATTATTCTGCCTTGAATGTTTGTGTACAAGATTGTATGTGGACATAATGTTTTCATTTTTGGAGGGTATATACTTAGGTGAGTTGTAATGTTAACTCTAATTATGTAAAGAACTACAAGGCTTTTCCTAAGTGGTTGCTCTGTTTATCATAGTAGCAATGTCTAAGGGTTCCTGGTTTGTTTGTTCTGTTTTGTTTAATATCCTCACCACTTGCTTCCATTTGACTTTTCAAATATAGCCCTTCTGGGTAGTATTATCTTTTTTTTTTTTTCTTTTTTTTAATCTTTTTGAGATAGGGTCTCACTATGCAGTTCAGGCTGGCCTTGAGTTCATGTTGTAGCACAGGCTGGTCTCAAACTTGCGGCGATCCTTCTGCCTAAGCCTTCCAAGTGCTGGGATTACAGGTGTGTGCCACCACCACTGGCTTTCCTTTTCTTTCTTTTTTTATTTTGTACAAGGACTCAGACTCATAACCTCATGCTTGCCAGGCAGGCACTGTGCCACTGAGCTCTATCCCTGGCCCGGGTTAATATTGTCTTAACTCATTGTGGTGTTAATATGTATTTATGTAACGACTAACAATGTTGAACATCTTTTTATGTGTCTTTGACCATTTCTATATCTTTTTTGGAAAAATGCCCATTCAAATTGCTGATTTGTTTTTTAACATTACTGAGATACAATTCACCCTTTTAAAGTAATCGTTGGTCGTTACACAGGGCAGTGCAATCATCACCATTACCTTAACCCAGAATATTTTCATCAGCCTGTGAGAAACTGCAGCCCTGCCTTTCCATCAGTGGATGTAAAGTGAAGTGCCTCTGTCTTAGACTCTAGTCCACCTGAGGCTGCCCTTCCCCACCCTGTGCACCAAAGTTAACGAGGAGCGCCTACTCAGTTTAAATTCTGGGAGCATAGCTGCAGACCAAGGATAGCTTATCAGCAGCCAAGAACTGTCTGTGCCTTATACCCTCTTCCCTCCCACTCTTCCTTCTCTCGGCAGCTCTTTAGATCCTCCTCTGGCAAACTAGCCAATAGGGATAGGTTGTGAACCTTCAGCACGATCAGTGGGGAAACGTCAGCTGCTTCTCCTGTGTTAGGGATAAAAGACGAGACCCTCCTTTGTCTTTTGCACCTGCCACCTCTTTGCTGGGATGTGCTTATGTCCTTTTTGCAAAAGTAGAAAGTCTTGTTGAGATTCTTTAAGGTCCTGACCTAGATTC